CGGCTTTGTGCTCACAGTGTGGAGCCTTTTGGGGATTCCCTCTCCCTCTCTCCCTGCCCCTCCCCCATTTGTGCTATCTTTCTCAAAATAAATAAATAAACTTTTAAAAAAATCTTTAAAACACATAGATCAATGAAACAGAGACCCTAAAACTAAACCTGCGTATGTGATCAATTAAGTTATAATAATATGATGAAAAGATCCAAGAATACACAATGGGAAAAGGATAGCCTCTTTAATAAATAATATTGGGGAAGCTTAATAGTTGCAGGCAAAAGAATGAAACTGGACTCCTGTCTTAAACCACACATAAAGATCAAATCAAATGGATTAATTACTTGAACATAAGACCCAGAACCATAACACTTCTAAAAGAAGACATAGGGGCAATGATTTTTTGGCCTTGGCAATGAGTTTTTAGATTTGACACCAAAGCAAAGGCAAAAAAAGCAAAAATAAACAATGGGACTGCATCAAACTAAAATTTCTTTTCTTCAGAGCAAAGAAAAATATCAATAAAATGAAAAGGCAATATATGGAATGGGAGAAAATATTTATAAATCATGCTATCTAATAAGGGGTTACTATCTAAAATATAAAAAGAACCCATACAACTTAACAACAACAACAACAAAACAAATAATCCAACTTAAAAATGGCCAGAGAAATTGAACAGACATATTTCCAAATAAGATATCCAAGTGTCCCACAGGCAGGGAAAAATTGCCCAACATCACTAAGCATCAGGGAAATGCAAGTAAAAACCACAATAAGATATCATCTCACACCTGTTAAAATGGCTATTATCAAAAAGGTAACAAATATTAGAAAAGATATGCAGAAAAGAGAGCACTTGTACATTGTTGCAGAAATGTAAACTGGTGCAGCCACTCTGGAAAACAGTACGGAGGCTCCTCAGAAAACTAAAAATAGAACTGCCCTTTGATCCAGGATTTCCATCCACATCAGGGTATATTTCTAAAAGAAATAAAATCATTACCTTAAAAAGATATGCACATCTTCATGTTCGTTGCAGCACTATTTACAACAGCTAACACACAGAAACAGCCCAAGTGTTCACAGATGGCTGAATGGATAAAGAAAATATTCTAATGTACAAAGAAATGTTGTTCATTCATAAAAAAAAGAGGAAATCCTGCAGACTGTGACAACATAAATGGACCTTGAGGGCATTATTCCATGTGAACAAAGACAAATACTGTATGATTTCATTTATATGTGGGATCTTCAAAAACAAAACAAAATGAACTTACAGACAGAGAGGACAGACTGGTGGTTGCTAAAGGCGAGGGGTGGGGGTGAAATAGGTGAAGGTGGTCAAAAGGTAGAAACTTCCAATTATAAGCTAAATAAATTCTGGGGCTATAACATACAGCATGGTGACTACAGTTAACAATATACTGCTTCATATGTTTGAAAGTTGCTAACAGAGTAAATCTTAAAAGTTCTTATCATGAGGGAAAAAATTCAACTGTGTGAGGTGATGGATATTAACTAAACTCATTGGGATGATCATTTCACAATATACACATATATCAAATCAAATCATCACATCATATACCTAAAACTGATATGTCATATGTCAATTATATCTCAATCAAAGATTGAGAAAAAAGTCAAAGAACAAATTATGCCTCTGGACAGGGTAGTTAGACTGAGATAATCAAGATTATATTATCAAGATATGATATCCTATTACTGATAACAGATTTTATTTAGATTATATATATTTCTTGTATTAGATTCCATCTATTTCTTTTGCCATTCCTCCTCCTCCTTCTATTACTGCTACTTCTTCTCCTCCTACTGTTTCTAATCACAATATTAACAGCTCTCTAAGGCTTTTGTAGTGATCTGGAAAATTAAATTCATGTTGCACTTTGATAACAGAGCCCAGTAACTTCGTGTTTTAAAATGCATCAAAATCATACAATCTCAGGCACTGCAGGTCCAGTTGCATTCAAATGAGGAAATCTGGATTGCTACAGCTCAGGGCTTAAGTCAGAAAACTGCATTTCTTGGAATAACTTGAAAGCTCTACCTAGGAGAAAGCCTGTCAAGTGAAAGTGAAAAAGAAGCAAATGCCAAACCGTTTATTACATTTCTACCCTTGTCCACAGCCTCAGAGCACTAACTCACACTAAGGAACAAAATCTTGTGAAAAGAGAACAGAATATCTTCTCAGGCCCCCCAGGGAACATGGGGACAGAATTTAGGTATGCACTGTTTTGTGAACAGACAGGGCACAGGATGGCTCAGAAGACAACGGAAAGGAAACAAGAGGTCCCCAACTGCCTGGGGTCCCTCAGATTTTCATATTTAGATTCATCGTTTCAATTCACCTTTGTTCACAAGCTTCGTAAGTGTTCACACATCATGTGTGCTTTGCTTACCCAACTGGCTTGCAAACATCTCACAGGGATGTATGAGGGAAATGGCACATATGAGAGAAGAAATGAGTAAAGATCAAAGCAATAAAGGGGGAAAAGATGCTTCATTGGGTGGGGACTTGACAGGGCTTTTGAATGGCAACTGCCTCATCTGAGTTAAGTGTCTGCTCCTTCACGTTCTACCAGACTTACGTTTTTTTGGTCACTCTGTAATGAAGGATGGTTTTTCTCTTTCGTATGTTGCTCCCTTTGTACTTAGTACACAATACCAGAACTATTTCTCTAACATTGAGGCCATTTTTTTCCCCACCTGATCCAGCTGACTAACAGCACAGTTACCATCTGTGGAAATTTCCAACCACAAAGAATGCAGACATGGCTTCTGCCTCTCCAGAGATTTGCAGTTTTTAGTAGCTACAAACTTAGTTTCTTTGAATTGCCCTTTATTTTAAGAAACATACTTTCCTTAAAGGCAATACCACTCTCCTTTCTGGATAACATACCACCTCTTCTCCAGTGCTGCCTTCATGACATGTCCCCATATCCCTTACTTCCTATAGGATACATCAATCCATGTAGCCAATTCTCAATGGAGTACACATTAGACCCTCAGAGATGCAATAGTACAGTTTACAGATATAGGCAATAGGTACAAAATCTTAATCTAAAACCAAGGTCAATGTGTACTTGTGCTAATGTATGTTCAATGTTCTGTTGGGTTCCAAATTAGACAAATATAGAAAGAGAGGGAGTAGGACCCATTTTAAATAGTAACTGACATAAAGAGTTCACTCATCATCATTATTACTCCTGTTAATGAAAACTACCCTTTACCAGACTCTTACAGTCTGGCAGGAACTATGCTAAGTGCTTTTACACAGATTATCCCATTTAATCATCAAAGTAACGGTAACTGTGAAGGAGGTACTCTAACTATTCATGTTCATATAAGAGAACAACAGCTTAGAGACTTGAAATAACTTCACAGAGATGATACATATGATAAATGACAGGGCCAACATTCAAATCCAGGCTACGCTACTCCAAGGAATGGGCAGGTACACACTGTTCTACACTGGCCTCCTTCTTTCTCTTCATTCAACTCCACCCCACCCCTCCCCAACTGTCACCACCCTATCCCAGATTGAACTCAAGTATATCTTTTTTCCTGGAAAACAGCACTCGGACCAGGGCATTGTAAACCAGCGGGGAAGGAGCCCCGGATCTACAGGCAGACTGTTCTAACTCCATGGTTTTATCTCTTGATAATGAATGGGAGAGGAAATAAATGCTTCCTTGTTGTCTGTCCTGGGCAGTTCCACAGCCTTCAGGAGTGAATTTTTGTTGTTTTTTTTTTACTTATATTACCAGGCCACTTTGCCCCTGAGTTAAAAACGCTTCATTTCCAGTGCATTTTCCATTTTCATTCTTTTCCATTAGTAGAAATGGAAATCATTTACTGTAGGACCAACTAATTTAGGGGTAGGCATTATTATCATCATTTTCCAGATGAGCTCAGAGAATGGACATGACAGGCCCCAGGTGAAATTTATTTCTGGCCAGAAAGGAGCTAGAACTTAAACCTGGGATCCTTACCTCCAAATGCAGCCCTCTAAAGCCAGTGTGTGTGAGTGCTACATGTGCAGCAGCTCCCTGGTATCTTTACTTGCCCTTCACTAAATATATCCTCTATCCAAAGCCACTTGCACACTTTCCACCACAAACCTGCTGTCTTCCCTTTCCCTTCAGTGAGTGGCAAACTCCCCCGACCAGATCTCACCCTAAATTCTTCTCTCTCCGTCCTATATCCATTCTATTAGCAAGTCACTCCTATTTTATGCCCAAAGCCTACAATTTGTTGTTTCCTTCTCTGTCTACCCAAAGTACCACTCTGTCTCCTCTGGCCCATGAGGACGGTCTCCTAGGTCACTCCCACCTTTCCCTTCTTGCACACCTTCCCCCCATTCTCATACTGAAGCCACCATCATCTTTTTATGACCCAAGTAGAGCCAGGCTATAAATGTCACGCCATCCTTTCGTTGTGAATACTTCAATGTCTTCCTACGGCTCTCAGATAAAAATCAAAACTCTGAAACATTGCCGACAAGACCTGACATGGTCCTTGCAGTTACGTCCCACCTCATCTCTTAACCTCTGCACCACAACACTGCTGGCATTTTCCAATTTCTTTAAATGCTACAGAGGCCCCTTACACAAGCTGTTTGTTCCCCGTCTCTGGATCACTCACAAGTCTCCACCTCCTAAATGGTGTTCGTGTCCGCTCCTTCCTCAGACCTCAGCCCGGGCGCTGCTTACTCGGGGTCAGTTCCCTGGCTGCTACTGCATGCTCTTTCACAAGACCCCTCTAGTCCTTATCACTTATCACTGTTGCAATTGTACTTTTATTTGTGGAATTATTTGGTTAATTCTTGTCTTCCTTTCTAAGCCATACCTCTTTCTGCTCAACTTCTGTGTACTTAGCACTGTGTTTAGCACGTGGTAGGCTCATAATCCATAATCCATACCTGTTGAGTGAATGAGAGCTGAGTGGAAAGCATGGGATTCTTTCCCATCACCAGTTATGCTTACCATTTGTCGGAATGAGAAGGTTGTAGATTTTAGTCTGAACACCCTCCGGAAACAGAGTAAAGCTACACTCATACTTCCCGGTGAATGAAGAGGACACATTCCGTAAGTGCAGGGTCCATTTTGACACATTTCTGGGAGTTTCTGTGAAAGTCACCAGTGACTCACAGGGACTGTTACTGGCACAGTACAAGCCATACTGGGGATGATAAAGGGCAATCAGGTCCAACTTGTCAGTGACCTTGGACCATTGCATCTGCACCAACAAGTTTTTCTTCCATGTCTGGCAGGTCAAGTTGACGTCAGAGCCAGGGAAAGCATAGATGTCTTCTTCATTGAATGCTTTTCCCCACACTCCTGGAAAGGGAACATGAGCCATCAGTTTACATGATTCATGTGGAATGATTCTTATTTAAAAACCTTGGTCACTTCAGTGAGGTGAGCAACTGAGGAATTTTTTTCTCTGGTTGTCCTACATATAGGAGAGAGCTGTGCATGACCCTTCCAGTAAAGCAGGGACTCAATACAAATGAGGAGGCATTTGATTAAGGACACGAGGGGAATATTCATCTCTTTGTCTGTTGCTCTGTCCAAAGAATAACTTAAGTTCTCTGACTACCTGCGAATAAAATTCAGCCTATTTAGAAATTGAAGCCCATCAGCAAACATATGACAGCTCTCTTCACAATGACTATAATGGGCTTTTTTCTCTTTTTGGTTTTATGAATCAACAGCTGCATATAACACACAAATAATATCTTCTGAAACTGAAAACATAACTGATATGTGTAGTTGTTTTAAAAAATGTATGCTCTCAAGAGGCTTTTAAATAGGCTATTTAATCCTTCTCACATACCACAGAATGATGTTAACACTCTGTCAAAGATGAAATGGAGGCACAAGGTGATTAGGTGATTTGCTTAAAGTCACACCTCAGCAAAAGAACCTGAACTTGGTTGCCTAGAGTAGGTGCTCTTTCTGTAACCTTCATAACGTCCAAACTGCCTCCCAGACTGGTTGAGAAGAAATTTGACATTCAGTACATGAAGATCAAAAGGACCTTTATTTGCACGCAGTTAGGGCTCCTTAGGGGAGAAAAGGAGAAAATACCTCAGGGTTTCCACTACATAAACTATGGTCAGCATCATCAATAATCGACACTTTGAAATACTAGACGTAAAGGAAGAAAATTCTCTCCCATCAGCTCTCTGACCACATGGTACAGGGCACTTAAAATATGTTAAGCCTTTGGCATGCCTTCAGTGGTGGAGGCCTCAGTTTTAGTGTTAATGGAACACTGTTATAGGAATGATATACTATTATGACAAGTCCCATGGAAGCTTACAAAGGAAAAAGATGAAAAGATGACAAGCAATGGGGAAGAAACAAGGCTCTCTAAGGTACTTGAGAAATGGGAATTATTACACTTTTATGGATTCAAAAGTTTGGGTAGGCAGAGGTTAGTACAGTTTAATGTCGTTCCCTGTAAGCTCCCCTTTGCCTGATAATACGCCTCTGATCCTATCCACAGCACTGTATTCCAAAGTCTCCTTTGATTTAGAAATTCTCCTTAGAACCTTCGTGGCTATATCTGTGAAGCACAGTTAATTCTTAAGACACTCAAGCTCACTATAATACCCCCATGCTATGGAATGCAGAGCTAATCTTTCCTCCTGCTATTTTTAAATAGGCCCCGAAGGGCACGGGTCCCCACTGTCACAAGGATGCTCCTTTGTCTTCCAGGGCCATACCTACACATGCCTCATTAGAATTCAACATATGTTCAACTCCCAAAGACATTAGTATTTGGAAGAGTAATGCTTGTTACATATAAAAGAAACAGGATCCTTGAGACAGACAAAAAGATGAGCGAGGATCTCTGATCACTGATGGCTTTGTGATTTTTTTTTTTTAGCATTCCAGAGTTGTTCTGACTACCACTTGGAGAGCATTTCCTTTCCAAGAAGCACAATTCCTCAGTTACTCAAGAGATCCTCTTCGGGAGGAAACGGGTGGCAATGTCTCAGAGCAGTGGCACAAACCACTCATTCCCTTCTCGTTATCAGTGTTCGTTAGTAATCATTTCTGGACTCTTAACGTCTCTGCGAAAGCTGCCACTTAAATATGTAGCCGAAAACCTTAGCAACGATCTGCCTTCAGTGATCAATGTCAGCAGCAGTCACACGCATTTTAAATGAACAGAGGCCCCACTCACCCCTAAAGGAGCCGATTTGACAAGAAAGGACAACTGGAAACCTTACCCCTGACAAAATGTATCTGGATGATGGAACAGACAGCACAATAGGTCCATTTTTTCTCCATCGTCTCCTGAAGGCCTCACACCAGCATCTCCATGATCACAGAAGTCAATTGATGCCTTGAAGCAAACTCCAGCTACCCTATTTGTGCAGAAAAACCCCAAACCTGCCTGCACGCCTGGGTCTGTTTATCACTTGGCAAGACCCCAGGAAATGAAACGTAGACAGGAAAGTAATGTGGTTCAGAGCTAAGTATAACCTTCAACAGAACAATGTTGAAATTGTTCTCTAAAATTTTGTGTATCACCTTCGCTGAAAGACTTCTCAGGATCCAAAGATTCTCTCCTTCAGGTTCTCTGTGTCAGTCAAGTGCTTCTAAAATCCAAACAAAGGAAGTCATGCAGAGCGACTCATAATGTGCTTTTTATACATTTCTTTTCAAGAGCACAGAGTCATTTAACAAATGTGAGCTTAGTGTCTTTCATAACCATTTTTCTGTTTGGTTTTAAAATATGTTTTCTTTCCAGAATTGCTCCGGGGTGAAAGAACAAAAAATTAACACAGTTAATTTTAATAAAATCAGAAAAGTGACAGAGGGTAACATGTGCCATCAAACTGAACTTTATTGTCACCTCTATTGCAGGAAAATCTTCATTTGGGGGGGGCAAGGAGGGAGGGCTCCTTTTCCACTCTCATCTGGGCGAGGCTGGAGGTCAGGCAGAGAAGCCTCCCACTCTGCTGGCTGGAGGGCTGTTTTTGCTGAGAGCAGAAGAACTTGCCTGTGCCTTAGCCAAAAACCAGAGAGAGCAAGGCTGAAACAATCTGAATCCAAAGGCAAAGAGTCTCCTATCTCAGCCAGCAACCAGGCTTGTGCAATCTGCCCAGTCACCTCTATTTACAAGACTGAGACTGGGGTTCAAGGAAGGGTCCTACTATATGACAACTTCCTACCAGATCTGATGCCGGATATTGGTTTTCCAGCTGGAGATAAAATAGGCTGTCTTCAGCTTCCAGACTGAAGAAACCAAGCATTAGGCCGAGGACTACAGCCTAAGGTTGATGAACAAAGAATAAAAATAAATAAATATATGTGTTTACATATAACAGATGAACAATTGGCGAAATTGATCTAATTTTACTAACACAATAAAGGCGTCAGCCAGCAAGCCTGCAGACAAACAAGAAGACTAAGCTGTGTTCCTGAGGAGGTTACTCTTTTGAGGTCATGGGGAGAGAATCCCCGCCACGTTGTCATCATGCATACCGCCATCGTGATGACATCGTGATGAACTGACCTACCTTGTATATACTGATCTGTCCCTATGCAAGGGCTTCGGAGCAATATGGACAATGTTAAGATATAAGGCATCACCTCTGCCATTGAGGAGCCCAGAATGCAACTGGGGGAACAGAGATTTGCATGTGGTGACTCAAGGGCTACTGTCCCCCCAGATGCCCAGGCTGCCTTCTACATCAGTCCCTCTGACCACCACTACCCTCTACACTCTACACCACCACTGCCGACAGTTGCCATTACAACTGTCATCTGAATCCAACACTACAAAGCTAATGATGTTTCTTGTAAAGGCCAGAGGATGGAGTTACTTACTCCCTAGCACCGTGTTCCCCGGACCTTTATCCCCACCCCCATCCTCATCTTCACACTTAGTTTCAGTGGATGAGTGTGGTCAGGTGTGGTGCCGACAGGGATGTTTTCAGGGAGTCTGCAGAGTGCGAAGACTTGGACTGAAAGTCAGGAGGTATCTCAGTGCCTTCATCTCTGCCCCTGTACCCCTGGATGTTCTAGGAAATCACAGTGATGGAGTACTGTGGAAGATCCAGACGTGCAGGTTGGTGTTCCCATTACATCGGGATGCATTACAAGCCTGGAGAAGGATTTAGGTTACTTCATTCCACCTGTCATATTATCAAGAATTTACCTACAATAGATCAATAAAAATCTAACCTTACTGAATTCTCTAAAAGCACTATCTCCTCTTGTAGCGTTTGGTGGTCTCCTGTCTCCTATTGCTTTAAACTAAAACACCTTTTCAGAAAAGAAGAACCCCTCAAACTCAGAAAAGGGGGAAACATCACGTATTTTCCAGAGCGACAGACGGAATCCTTTCCTCTCATTGGGGTTGGGCTGCCCAAGGCCCCCGTTCAGGGACCGCTGGGAAAATCTGCCCTCTCTGGGTGTTATTCGGAGCTTGGTTCACGGGTTTTATACCTAGACACCTCTGTGGCCCAGAGTCATCAGATTTGACTAGTTTTCCTTTGGGATTCACCGAGGCTCCAAGAGAAGAAAAATTTCACATGCCCACAGAATGTTAATTGAACGCACCTGGTGTCTAGAGCGGCGAGACCCGAGCCGCAGCCCCTCCATGACAGTGTGCCCCCAGCAGGGGGCAGCAGCGCCCCGCACACAGGCCTTGCTCTCCCCGGTGCCGGCGACTGCCCCCGCTGCTTCAATCCCGGCAATATTTTCTAAAGGCCCTTTCAGCATGGGAATAGGCGTTCTCTACACTTAAAAATAACTCTTTGGTGGAAGTCATGAAAATCTCTATTAGCCTCCCTGCTCACCAAATCCCAACTGCACAGCGTTTCTCCTGCCTTGGATGATAGTCCGCTGCGTATAAAGAGAAAACGGAAGCAGTCAGTTCCACACGCACAAAGAAATCCTGAACTTCTTGAACTTCAGAGGCAAATTCAATTATTTACAAAGAGAAGCAGGAGCACGTATTATTTCTGCTAGAAGCAAGCTGTAATTGTGTGTTTTGAACAAACTTCTTTAATGCTCCATCTAAACACCCTCGATGAGAAAAGGACGTTCTCAGAAACAGAAGTTGAGCAAAAGGTACGATTACTTTTGCATAGAGGTTAATTCAAAAATGATTTCTCTTGGATTTTATTCTTATTTATTATATATAAAAATTAAAACATGGTGTGTTCTTTCTTTGCACATGTTTCTCTCCCAAACTGCTTAGAAAACATGCTGTTTAATCTTTCAAATAATTGAGAAATATTCATTGAGTGCCAACTCTTAAGGGATACTGAAGAGGCATAGTTTTAAGTGATTTTAAAATACAAATGATAAAACACAATTCTTGCTCTTAGGGCACTTACTATTTTGCTGGAGAGAAACATGCACCACACCACAAAGGAGTCAAGAAACAAAAAGCATAAAACTGAATGAGTAAGTAAGTGGTGAGGATTTTGGGAAAGGAAGAAGTATAGGGACTGAGTAAGCTAGGAACATTTTAAGTGTGGAAATCTAAAGTTGGCTTCATATTGTAAAGGCAAGTCTGGTGGAAACCACAAGGTAAGTCATTCCAAGCAGAAGAGACAGTAGAGCCAACAGCTGGAATTGGTGAAGTTCAAGGCCAACTCTGAGTCAGATGTGATCATGGAACAGAGGCTTTATTGAGGGGCTTGGGGTCAGACAAAGCTGTCCAAAGGGGAGAGATTAGATGATAGAGGGCTTTTAATCCTGAGCCATAGATTTTGTTCTTTATGTTAGAGAGAGTTACAGGTTTTTCAACAGAAAAGTGACATATATAGAATAACATTTTAGAAAGATGAATCAGGTGGGCTTGTGAATAAAAGTAAGGTGGGGGAAAGAGAAGAGGAAGAGCTGTTCGGGGTCATTTATTTCCCTAAGCAGTGGAGGGTAAGAGCCTGCTGATTGGTTATGGCAGATTTTGATGGGGTGGGGGTGGGGAGGTGGTGGACATTACAAAGAAAGAGGAGGTAAGGCTTGGTTTCCCATTGAATACGGAATCAAAATCTGCTCTAAAGTTTCATGTATCAGAATGAGGAGAAAAGAAAAAAACTATAATAGATGTAAAAAGACTGTAATATGATGTGAAAGTATAATGCATTAATTACGTGTCCCTGCTGGAAAAGCCACCCTAGGCTCAGAGCAGTGGGCAAGGGGTTACTGGACTTCGGACAGAAAGTGAGGGATAGCCTATTAGGGTACAGGTAGAGAGGCCTTGCCTTTATGAGAATCAAGGTCCCCCTTTTGATTTTCACTCCGATTTTATGAGTTTTAAGAATTATCATCGCATGGGAGAGAAAGAATTTCATGACACTTTCAGCATATAGCAATCTATTTTATCACCGTCATCTCCACCATGCTCAACTCCATCCATTAAAGACTGATTCTAATGGAATACATTTTTCCAATGACAACATCAATATCTGCTCGTTACCAGAAAACATTTTAAAAGGTTAATGAAGAAAATAAAAATCAGCTGGAATCCTAACCACCCACAGACAACCAGTACTTATATTTCGTCTTATTATCTTTCTGGACTTTTTACATAAATATGCATACAGGAAGAAAATGGGTTTTTACTATTTTTACCACATTCACTCTACCCTGTCCCTTTTGTTTTACTTCATATGTTGTGGACATGTATGCATGCTATGAAACAAAGATAAACTTCCTTCTTTCAAAATAGCTGCATGGTATTTTATTGCACAGAAGTACAAAATAATCTTTAAGTAAGATAAGTATAAAATTTCTACCTAATGTTTCAAGAAATAGAATTTAAAAATTCAATGGAATAATTATAGTTAGTAATCTCTGAATATTTTTCAATGGCAAGCTAAAATAAAGAAGGAGAGAAAGAGCAACAGACAGACAGAAGGGAGAGAGAGCTTGATTTTGCCAAAGCCCTGGGAAGCTAATGCTGGCTCACTAATAACTCAATAATGTGGAATTTTGCAGGAATACAGTTTAAAAACTATTAATATTTCTAGGATTAACTTAGAATAAAAGAAACTTTTTAGATTATGTTCTACCCAGTTTCAAAACACTGGCATCTTTTAAAATGTCTCCTCACATGCAGTGGAGAAAAAAGTACCACCTGAAAAACTGAGAAGTTTTGCAAATGACTTTAAAGCTTAAAAAAAGATCGTATGGCACTAAATCGCATACTGTGATTCTTTTGTCAACCCCTACAAATATATTCTTGACCACACTGCATTTTTACAACTATAGATTCACATACAGATGCTGTGCTTCCTTTTTTTTTTTAAGTTTATTTATTTATTTTGAGAGAGATAGAGCCACCATGAGCAGAGGAGGGGCAGAGAGAGAGGGAGAGAGAGAATCCCAAGCAGGCTGCACTACTAGAACAGATCCCGACGTGGGGCTC